CGTTTACTTCCTCGGGCGGCTTGACGAAAAATTGCCACACCGCCGAGTAGGAAACTTTGCCCCGATACTCCTCACTGGCTGACTGCTACTTCCTCCGTGCACACGGCACCACTACTGGCCGTGGTGGTAGGCTGCAGTGGAGCTGGTGCTCTACTCCGTGGCCGTTTGCCTCCACTGACACTGCTGCGACCCTGCTGCCCCTGGGCAACCCACCGACTGTTTTGCTCGCTGCCAAGCTGCCACCCTCTTCTCCTGATGATGCGAAGCAATAGCCTGACGACAACGAGGCTGCCAAGTGCGATCAGCCTCATCATCATCCATTAGGGTCTCCGCCTCACTAACAAGCCCCCACGGCTGCAGTGTGGGTCAGAGACAGAACCTGACCTCTAGACCGGCTACCCGAAGCCACTTCTCCTCGCCACTACTTCTTCGCCCTGGCTGCTGAAGAGGCGGATGTCTCCCCCCGTTCCTGACCGCCCTCTCTTTGTTAGCTCTTCCTCACTGTACAGTGGCGGTCTGAGCCCACAGCATGCGCTACTTCGCTTGGTGAGGGAACACCAAAGGACAGGGGCAGGTAGAGGACACGTGATTTCAGTGGCTTGCTCCCGGGACATTGCCAACTAACGGGTTAGATGATCTGACGTACCCACCGACCGTTGGCTGTAGGTGTCAGAGGTGACCTGGGAAGAGTGCAAGACGACCGAGTACCCAACCAATCGATGACGGCAGGGTTTGCTCGGTGGAGACACGACCGCTGGATGACACCGGGAGCAATCAATTCTGTGTCCCTGCAGTAACAATTCTGTGTCTGTCCCTCAAGTAACAATTCTGTGTCTGTCCCTGAAACAATTCTGTGTCCCTTCAGTAACAATTCTGTGTCCCTCAGTAACAAATTCTGTGTCCCTCAGTAACAATTCTGTGTCTGTCCCTGAGTAACAATTCTGTGTCCCTCAGTAACAATTCTGTGTCCCTCAAGTAAACAATTCTGTGTCCCCCACCTGTGTCCTGAGTAACAATTCTGTGTCTGTCCCTCAGTAACTCCAATTCTGTGTCCTGTCCCTCAGTAAAACAATTCTGTGTCCCTCAGTAACAAATTCTGTGTCCCCCTCAGTAACAATTCTGTGTCTGTCCCTGTAACAATTCTGTGTCTGTCCCTGAGTAACAATTCTGTGTCCCTGAGTAACAATTCTGTGTCCCTCAGTAACAATTCTGTGTCCCTGAGTAACAATTCTGTGTCCCCTGAGTAACAATTCTGTGTCCCTGAGTAACAATTCTCTGTGTCCCTCAGTAACAATTCTGTGTCCCTCAGTAACAATTCTGTGTCCCTCAGTAACAATTCTGTGTCTGTCCCTGAGTAACAATTCTCAGTAACAATTCTGTGTCCCTGAGTAACAATTCTGTGTCCCTGAGTAACAATTCTGTGTCCCTCAGTAACAATTCTGTGTCCCTGAGTAACAATTCTGTGTCCCTCAGTAACAATTCTGTGTCCCTCAGTAACAATTCTGTGTCCCTCAGTAACAATTCTGTGTCCCTGAGTAACAATTCTGTGTCCCCCTGAGTAACAATTCTGTGTCCCTCAGTAACAATTCCCCCTGAGTAACAATTCTGTGTCTGTCCCTGAGTAACAATTCTGTGTGTCCCTGAGTAACAATTCTGTGTCCCTGAGTAACAATTCTGTGTCCCTCAGTAACAATTCTGTGTCCCTGAGTAACAATTCTGTGTCTGTCCCTGAGTAACAATTCTGTGTCTGTCCCTGAGTAACAATTCTGTGTCCCCTGAGTAACAATTCTGTGTCCCTCAGTAACAATTCTGTGTCTGTCCTGAGTAACAATTCTGTGTCCCTCAGTGTCTGTGTCTGTCCCTGAGTAACAATTCTGTGTCTGTCCCTGAGTAACAATTCTGTGTCAGTCCCCTGAGTAACAATTCTGTGTCCCTCAGTAACAATTCTGTGTCCCTCAGTAACAATTCTGTGTCTGTCCCTGAGTAACAATTCTGTGTCTGTCCAGTAACAATTCTGTGTCTGTCCCTGAGTAACAATTCTGTGTCCCTGAGTAACAATTCTGTGTCCTCAGTAACAATTCTGTGTCCCCTCAGTAACAATTCTGTCTGTCCCTGTCAATTCTGTGTCCTGAGTAACAATTCTGTGTTCCCCTCAGTAACAATTCTGTGTCTGTCCCTCAGTAACAATTCTGTGTCTGTCCCTGAGTAACAATTCTGTGTCTGTCCCTGAGTAACAATTCTGTGTCCCTCAGTAACAATTCTGTGTCCCTGTCTGTCCCTGAGTAAAAAAATTCTGTGTCCCTCTGTAAAAAATTGTGTCTGTGTCCCTGAAGTAACAATTCTGTGTGTCCCTAGTAACGTGTTTCTGTGTCCCTGAGTAACAACTGTGTCCCTGAGTAACAATTCTGTGTCCCCTGAGTAAACGTTTCTGTGTCCCTAAGTAACAATTCTGTGTCCCTCAAGTAACGTTTCTGTGGCCCTAAGTAACGATTCTGTTGCCCTAAGTAACGTTTCTGTGGCCCTAAGTAACGTTTCTGTGGCCCTAAGTAACGTTTCTCTGGCCCTAAGTAACGTTTCTGTGTCCCTAAGTAACGTTTCTCTGGCCCTAAGTAACGTTTCTCTGGCCCTAAGTAACGTTTCTCTGGCCCTAACTCTCTCCCTCAATACAGACAGCTCTGCCTCTCTTGAATGACTGGAGGCAAATGGAGAATTCTAAAATGGCCGCCATTTATAGCTTGACCATTACACAGTGCTGGCTGGCTAGCTGCTGATTGGCTAATGCGATCACATGTCATGAATGAATGCAATTATGGGTCAGCGCGCCTTGTCTGCGCGCCTTCCCAGACATCCCCGCTCCGTCGCCGCACATGTCGCCGCCATTTTAGGAGAAATTTTCCTAATATTCGAAACGAATTCCACTTTGCCGAGTTCGATTCGCTCATCTCTACCCATAACATATAGTTTTGGTGTAATAATCATAATTCAAATGCATTTTAAGTGTCATACCTCATAACATATAAGTGTAGAAGGTGCTCTGATCTCTTGGACTCCATTTGACATCACTGGGTGCCTGAGTAGCCAACCACCGATCAACAGTCAAATGAGAGAAATGGAGTGATCTGCGATCATGTGCATAGTCTAACATTAAGGCAGTCTCCTGACTTAGAGATGAGCTGACACTGCATGTAAAATGAAGCTGAGCCTCTGATGAAGTGTCATCCCATGCTCTACATACAGTGACTATTACGTAAATATAAAAAAGATGTGGCGAGCGCTAGATTTTAATTAATAAGATTTGAGGACCTGGAGCAACCCTTTACACCGTGGGTATATTAGTTTATTCCCCTTTTCTGTCACCAAGTTTGGTGCTACATCATTTAAGGAAGTGGTTTGTAGCTGTCCTGACTGGATATAAACCAGGATTCCCATATTGATTATCTCCCCTGGGATCGTGAGCCATCAGTTCTGGCTCAAATGCACTGTTTCTATGTGCTCTGTCAGCGGTATGTAATGCATTACAGCTGACAGTTCCAGATATCCACGGCAAAAATGGCGCTTAGCGCCGCGCGCGCATGCGCAGTTGCACGGTCCTCTCCGAAAATGGCGGCGAGTCAGTGCGCATGCGCGACTCCCGTTTTTTTGCTATTTGAAGATTCGGCGTCTGTCACAGAGCTGTCAGTATCCCCTCTGATGATGTGCCTTAGCACGAAAGGCCTCAGGAGGAACTGACAGCCTGTGACGCCTTATTGCCGCCTAGACCACGAGGAGGTCTGGCGGCTTCTTCATTCAGGGTCAGTGGTTTTTGCTTTTTAATCTAATTTTATGTGATTCACTTTATATGTCTGGCCCTCTGCCTAGCATCACTACTGATATACCCTGCACTGTTTATTACCAATAAAATTATCTTTTGAAATACTACACTATGGGTACTCTCCACTCTTTGCCCCTTATTGAGGGGTCAGCAGACACCGTTTTCCACTTCATCCAGAGGAGGGAAGCCTTCACCGTGAGTCTGTATCCGGGCCGATCTATCCCGATCCTTGGGAGGTTCTGTGAGCCCAGCTGACCATCGCATGATAACACCCCTTTCCTGAGGGAGATCGATACTCTGCAGAATTGATTAAACATATGCGCATTTCCTATGCGCGGTCGGTGAGTGCGCACTTCTGCCATTTGTTCCGGATTTCTCATAAGCTGTGTCATATCTACTTTATCGCTGATTCTATGAACTTTTGATATTTTCAGAACGAACTTTTTAGATCGAATTTTCTAGACCAGAACTTTCTAGATCGAATTTTCTGTTTATTTTTAGCGCTGCACTTTATTTATTTAGTGACTATTACGTGTTGCATTCACAGCGGCAGGTAGGGCCACATCACTTCCTTCAGCCAATATACCTCTGTTACCTCACTCCCAGTAACAGAATGAGATCCTGTTGGACACCTAGTGCAGATCTCATTCGTGTCCTATATTAACTCTTCCATTTCTGTATCAAACTGGTTGGCTGAGGACCTCCATAACATCTGCTCCTGGTTGCTATGGGAGATGGATCTCTAGGGAGGGGGCCCAAATAGCAATCCTCTCGCTACCAGAGGACACCTCACCTAGGTACCACACCTCAACTGGCTGTTTAGTGTCTTAGACGTTAGTGCATTACCAATGGCAACTACCTTGTTCTTCTTTAGCATACTGACTTGACACTGTAAATTATTCGTTCCCCTCTAGTGCTTTTACAGATCCAGGTTCTTTACTGATCACTAAGTGCAAACATAATACAAAGCGCAAACGGTCCATTTCTCATAACCCTGACTAACAATCGGCCCAGGCATACCTTTTCGAGCATTAGTCCACAATGGCAGAGTCCATATTTGGTGGCACGCCAGGATCATCAGTCTAGTAGGTAAAAGAGATGGCTTCTTGTAGTTCTGGAAGGTAACAACAGCAACACAGCAGCACACCGACACACTTGCGGTCTAGGGACTCTTGGACCTCAACCTTCCCCCAATTTATATTTAAGGTGGGCTGGCTGAAGCCCCAACAATCCAGTGCACCTGGAACAGTGAATTTAACTCTTTCGCAACCCAACCTGGACCAAACACTGACTTAAAAAACAGTACCCAACTTGCTTACATACATACATGTCTTGGATCTTAATGGTCAAATACAATGAGTGAGGCTGGAGGACGTTAACCTATTGCTTTGCTCTGCATGAACAAAGCACAAGTTCACTTTAAAGTGACACAAATTAGTGGTTAAAATAATTATTTTTAAGTATAAATTCTTAACTCAGAAAAGTACCTTCAATTGCTCTTAGCTTCCTCCAAAGTTCAAATTTATTTTTTGTTGCTCTGATCTGACATCCTGCTAGAGGGTGGCTATGTTCATTCTCCATATTCCAATGCAAGACATTAAATGAATAGAGAAGCTGGAGTGTGCATAGCACACTGTGATCTGGGTACTCCAGCTGGAACTGGAACTCTCAGTGCCAGCCATTTAAAGTGTTTTTTTCCTTTAAAATAACAAACATGCCATACTCACTTGCTCTGTTCAATGGTTTTGCACAGAGCAGCCCCAATCCTCCTCTTCTTGGGTCCATCGCAGGTGATTCTGGCCCCAACCCCCTGCTTAATGCCCCCAGAGCAAGCTGCTTGATTTGGGGGCACTTGCACATGCTCGCTTCTGAGCCACCTCTGTGTGTCTATGAGTCTATGGGACACACAGAGCGCTGTAAACCCCCCCCCCCCCGCCCGCTCCCTTCTCACTTGCTGTGACTGACAGCAGCGGTAACCAATGGCGACATGGGGATAATTTTTGTTGCACCACAATGCAAAGAATCTTTGCCTTGGTATGTGTGTACCCTGTATGGCTGTCTTTGTGTTTAGGTGGACAGTTAGGGAGGGGAGTAAAATGAGGCTGTATCACCAGTTTCTATGGCTCCCTCCCCAACTGCAATGTAAACTAGGCCTAAAATAGCAGTAAATATAATATAAAGTGCAAAATCCTGTGAGCTGCTATGCTAAAAAACAAAAATAATGCAAAAAATTCTTTTTACAAAAAATTGTGAATCGCCCACGCTATTCACATTTCCATACAAAATGTGTAATATCATATATAACAGTCCAGTTTCACTCTTCACCTATGTTTAGAACCATATAAAACAACTCTAACAAGTGACATAAACATCTGTAAAATGTAAACATCTGATAAAAATAGTCCTGAATTGATGTATATCTTCACAGATGCTTTAATTCCACAGTGCTTCTTAAAACACCCCGTGCTTTTATATACTGCAAACCAAGGAACGTGTGTATCCACCTCCACTGGATGTGCTCTCACCTGATATATATGACCGAACCGCTAGGTGAGGTCATAAATGGCATGTGTCCAATCGGCATAAATCTCCTCCACTTTCTTAGATCTCCTCCTCCTCATATGTGCATTGAAAAGAGATGACCAGAACATAGTGCTTTATCCTTATAAAACAGCTGCAGTGGGGTCAACAACAACGTTACTGCTCCCTGCTGAAGCTGCTGTCAGCGGAGCACTAGCACTGGCACTGGCACTTGTACTTCCTTACTTCTTCTCCAAC